TTTATTTCATGCTCTTGCCAAATACAGATAAGATTCAAAAAAGGTGGGATGATCCCATTCAACAACTTTGATTAAACATAGCTCCCTAAAGAATAGTTGATACTCATAAGATTAGATCAGTTTTTCATGTCTAAATCTGATAATCTAAGCAACTCTTTTGAAAATAACTATGCAATATAACAACCATTGTTAAACTCCTATCTTGTTTTGAAACCCTATATTGTTATTGTTTTGGGGTTTTTGTTGCTGTTTGTCTCTTTTGAGTTCCTTTTCTGTGTCTTTTTTTTTTCTCTTAAATAAAAAAAACCTGAAAATGAGATTGTCTGTCAGAGTGAGGAAAGAGAAATTCACTGAGAAAATATATACATAAGGTATATGTAGAGAGCAAGCACTCAATATGAGCTGAATTCCTATAGTTATCTCCATGTTTCCCTTATTCAACTTGATTAAGGAATTAAAAATGTAAAGTCATGTCTCTAGGTCTCCATATTACCTGTGTATCCAATGCCCCAAGATCAACCATGGGTTATAGATGGTTCTCTTCAAATCCAACAAATTCAATTGTATTTGCAGCACTAGATTACTTTAGCCATGTCAGAGTTCTGGGTTTTAAATTTTTTTAACTTAAGTATCTCCAGCTGATCATTGTTTCTGGTCATTATATCAAAGCTGGTGGTGCTCCTAAAGTGAACCTGAACACGATTCTACTTCTAAACTGATTTCTAGCAATGTTTCAAGTACTCTTAAATAAAGCACAGGATTTATAGACCAACAGATAATAGTTACAAAGAGAACTAGCTTACTCAGTTCTGATTAGAACTTGCTCAGTCGTAGGAAGAATCATGATTGAGAAAAATAAGTGGCAACAGCTTATGAAGCAATAGCTTTGTGCTTTGGAATCAGATGAATTGGGATTCCAGTTCCCAGTCTACAGCTTGCAAGATGTTGACGATGGCAAGACCCTTAACCTCTCTTTGGCTTCAACTGCTTCAACAGCAGGCCAGGTCAGCACCACTACCTCCCTCACGGGGTGGTCGAAAGGATGGATGACACAAAGCTCTATGCACATTTAGTTTTGGTTCTGGTACTCAAGAAATATGGGCTCTGCTTATAGTAAGATGTATTGCTAACATCAAGGAGCTACAAATGAAAATATTCAGAGTGAAAGAACAGCACTAGACCCATGGAAGTGAGCGGCATTGGTCACAAAAGCACCAAAACCTCTTGGTATTCCTTTCTTTGTCTGAGGATGGTAAAAAGTCTCAAAGACAAAAGTAAGACAAAAAGAAGCTGGGGATTTAGCTCAGCGGCATAAGCGCCTGCCTTGCAAGCAGGCAGTCGTGAGTTTGATCCCCGGTACCAATAAAAAGGAAAAAGACAAAAACAAAAACAAAAAAAGTGAGACAAAAGCAGGGAAGCCTCACATAGTACGAATGCAAAGAGATCCCTGTAATGGGATAAGCTATAAAGTGGCTACCTATAAATCCCATTTTATAAGCAAAACGTTATTTTACTGATGAGAAAGCTCCCAACTGGTAGCAGATCTAGGCTGAACAGAGAGACAAGACAGAAAAAAAAAGATACACGATGGATGAAGAGAAGAATAAAACTACTGTAGCATATGATATGTGGGGAAAGTTTATGATTTTTAAATGGAAAATAAAGACAGAATGTAAGTTAGGGCCTGAGAAAATGGAAAAGAGTCTGAATTTCTGCTTGTACAAAATGAGGAACTGTTGTTTTATTTTTTGGTGTGTAGGTATTTAATTAAATGTAAGTATTACTACTGCAACTAAGAACACTTATTAAGCACCAACTAAGAGCCAGGCCATTGGAACACATCTAATAGTTGCAAAATCTACATTGTCTCCCCGTTTCATATGCAAGACTGTGAGAGGTCACTCATGCCTCCAGTAAATGGAAAAACAGGGTTCATAGCCATGTGTGTGGGATGTCAAAGTCAGTATCCTTTCCCCTAAAGTAGCACAGCAGATAAACCTCTCTGGCAATAGAGAGCCAAAAGGTAGGGGGAAAAAAATAAGAGACAAAGAACTCTCCAAAACCAAGACAGAGAATCAGAGGAGGACATAAAGGTCTCAAATGGAATCACTGTAAACAATGGAAGGGAAGCGAAACAGAATGAATGCGTCCGTGACCTTTTCTGTCACTTACTCTCTTGCTATGCCATGTTCTGCTGCTTGAACTAGAAACCAAGTTAGTAGTTAATTTAGTTCCTATTACTGTCATTGTATTCAAGCCTTGATTTTAGTCCCATTGTTAGCTCACTAGCAAAAACTGCTTTAGGTATTTATTGTCCCATTATAGTGTTATTAGGGCTAAAATATGTCATCATTCTCTAAGCTGTTATGTGCACTGAGAGGCAATCATTCAAAAAAATAACACTAAGCTTCCACATCCAATAAATCACATTATGCTCCACATACCAATATTTTTTAAAATATGACTTAAATACACAGCCAGTCAAACAAGAGGACACATATGTTGAGCTCTAATGAGCTCTGCCAAATCCTACATCATTAAGGTTCATCATGATCTCAGGGAACACATGGTTTTATAAAATAGAGTGTGTTATCAGTGTTTGTGGGGCTGCTACCTAGCTAATACTCTAGGTAAACCTACACAAAAGGCAAACAGTAGGAAATGTATGCATATGAATGTATCTTTAAAATAATGCAAAGCTAATATGAAGTGGACAATTACTTGGACTATCTCATTTGACAGACTCAAAAGCTGAAAATGTTAATATTCTTGTAATGATTCAAAAAAACAGTATTTTTGCACTACGATGTTAGCTACAGTCTTCACCACCCAGTAATACACTTCAGTATTCAATAAACAGTATTATACCGGGATATAGAGAAATGAATTGAAATAGTTAAAGATAAAAGAGTGTGTCTTGTGGTTTGCGCACTCCCTTTACCATATTCAGTATAAGATAAATGATAATAACAGGATAAACATTCCAATTTCATAGGTTTTAATTGTATAATGACCTGTGATTTGTGTTATTTAATCCACTAAACTTAATTTTATTTCTATTTTGCAAAGATACACAAGGAGGGTAGAGGACTCTGCTCACCTGTACATTCTCAGACCCAAACAAATATTGTGGAGAATTTAGCAACGAATTATCTTTTTTCTGAAATCAGACTTCTTCCTCTTCATCAGTTAGAGCTCCCCGCAAAGCTAGTTGTGCACATGACCTCGCACACCTATTCTTCAAGCTGACTGTTTGGCACACAAGCCAGATGTCATCACAGCCCCACAGCCCGGCTGCCTGTCACACGTTTCCTGCAGCCCCACCCTTTTCCCATCTTCAGTTCCAACAGTTCATTTCATTTTTTCTCTGTTAGAGGAAGAATTACGATTGAGAGTTCAAACCCTCAAAGTAGTGCAGGGAGCTGTGCTGTTAATATTATTTAACCCCAGGGAAGTTTCGGGTTACTTGCCAGTCCCCCCCCCCCCCCGCCTCCTTCCCTCAAAGGACTACATCTTATTTTGCTGTTGTAATGGAAAGCACTGCATTAAGACAGACAGTGCAAAAACATAATGGGTTTAAATTTTTAAACAACTAACCTTTCATGTGTCACTGTTAATCATTTGCATCTGTGACTTCAAAAACTACCCCCAGCAATTAGAGAAGCAAAATGCACAGGACAGAACTAAGTAAAGCTGCCCCAATCACAACTATTACCATATCAGGGAACGAAGGAAACTGCTATTTCACCTAATGTGATGTGAAGAAAGTGTTACATGTCAGGTCCACCAAATCTTGAAAACATTTGAGCTCCCAGCATTTAAAATCATCTACAAGTCAAAAGTTTATATAATGTATATACACATATATATGTGCATATAGATATAGATATCCCCATTGAGAAATTAGAAGACTATTGACATTTTCACTACTTAATCATTTATTTCATTGTAAAAGGCAAAAGTGGCAATATTCTGATAATATAATGGAAGTTACTCTGCATCAATGAAACACACACGTTTGGAAGGTATAAATACGTTTTCTGTCAGTTGTACTCTATCCTGAGCAAGTCATCTTCCCTTTAAATGGAGGCTCTTAAACCATGGAAATCTTACTGCCTGGGGCAGGCAGAAAGGGATTTTCTGTGACCAGCATCTGGACCACACCTTGTTTGGTCCAACCAGAAGCTAAGAAGAAATGGAAGCAAATATACCTGGTCCAGACATCACAGAAATGGACCAAAAATCAAAATATGCTCCCCTTCAGTGTAAGAGGGAGGTCCCTAACATGGCTGTTGATCCTGTGGGGTTCCTCATCTCATGGACCAGCCTCCACCAGTTGCTGACCATTGCGTGGGCTGCCTGGTAGGATTTTGTGGTCCAGCAGCTGCTAGCCTTTTATAACCTTAATGATGCTTTACAAGCATCCATTTAGTGTGTGAATATGCTTTTAGCATCAAAACACTGCCAAATGAAATATTAAAGAAGAAACTCTCCACCCACTGCAGAAATTCCCTGAGTCCAAAGCATCTGGGATGAAGATTACAGATTACAAAATTTCTTTTCGATTTTTTAAAAAAATCTCTTGCCTGCTGAGGAACCTGCAGAGAAGCCTCCTGAAGATGATACCACAATTCACTCTACCATTTACCTAGTTAGGGGAGGCAGAAGTGTTTGATAGTTACCCAGGCTTCCACTTGTAGCAGAAATGAACACCAAAAAGCATCAGAACGTTCAACTCCGCAGACATGGGGAAGCCTTCCGGAGGGATAAACAGAAAAGACACTTCTCCCTCCCAACTGCACACACACACACACGCACACACACGCACGCCGGTTCTGCCCCAGCCCACCAGCAGCAGCCCTTCCCTAATCCCGAGCGCTCCGGAGAGGATTCCTGGCTCCTCGGGGCTCCCGCCGTGACCCCGGAAAGCCCGGCGTGGCCTCCTTCCACCCTCGCGTCCTCCACACCAGGCTGCCCGCCGCCCCACCTCACCCCCTCACCTGATGATGTCGTCGTTGTGTCCCAGGAAGAATTTCTGGCTGTGCTCGCGGGTGCTGTACACCACTCCGACGCCAGCCACAAAGTAGACCACCTCCTTGCCGGCCGTGTAGTACAGGTTGTTGCGGCACTGGTGCCCCCGGTACCCGTACACCCACTCCAGCCGGAGCTGGCAGCCCGGAGCCGTCCGATCCGCCATGATACGCCGACCCCGCTGCGCCCCGCCCCCTGCCCGCGCGCGGGTCGGGCGCCCCTGCGCGGGTCCGTGCTCGCCCCGCTCGGCTGCGGCGGACCTGCAGGGGCTCAGCGTGCGGCGCCCGGCGCCGAGCTCCGCGGCGACGCACAGGCACAGCGCGGCGCGCCGGCCGCCACCATCATCCGCTGCCGCCGCGGGAGACCAGGCTCCGCAGCCGGTGCGCGGCCTCCAGACCCCGCCGGGCGCCTCGCTCCCCCCCTGTGCGCGGCGGCTTCGGGGGCGCTGGCACCCGCGCGCGACCGCCTCACTGCACCTACGGGCTTCGGTCCCCGGGAGAGGCTCTCGGGGAGTTCACCCCTTCTGAACCAGCGATCTGCATATCCAGTCACCGATCACCCAGTTCGCTTAAGTTTGCAGTGCACCGGGGCTTCGCAGCAGGCAGCGGGATTTATTCTGTGACAGTTTTGATTTGACAGGCAGCCGGAGTAAGCTTGGCCATCACCGTACTTGGATCCGAAACTGAGAGCCTATATCCAGGACGTGAGAGTGAGGAAAAAAAGAAACAGATTTTTTTTTCGTAAGTCACTCAGTCCAAGAAAATGGTCCCCAAACTAAACCAAGCGGTTTTTTTTTTAGTTGTCAATTACTCCCCCTTATTCCCTCCAGATCCACATCCTTAATGGTATCAGATGCACTCTAAACGCTGCTGGCCAGTAGTTGCTGATATGATTTGAAAGAGTATTTGCTGTTTCTCCATTAAGTCAGGGAGAATATGCAATGGTCATTTTTTTCAGATGCTCCAATTAGCTGTCATGTCCCTGTTAAAAATTCATAACCTTTCTGAACTTCTCTTTCCTGGAAAACCATAAAAAACTAAGCAGCTCTCCCTAATCAGCAACGCCAATCGCAAGCATCATGAAAGATTTTCTGAATCGGAGGGCACGCGTACTAGTGCGGGAGGAGAGAGTCACCTACAAACTCTCCTGATGTAAAAGAAATCACTGCAAATAACAAGTGGCAAAAATCGTGCGCTTCTCCCCACGGTCTGTGCTGGCCTCGGGTGTCGTGGGCTCCCGAGTCCGGCCTTCTGCCTGACAGCAGCAGAGTCGCCCGCGGGACCACGGAGGACAGCGACCCCCAACAGACTATCCTCCCGGGACTCTCAGTCCCGCGCTCCTCCCACTGCCGACCCTGCCTCTCCAGCGGAACATCCCGCTCTCTCCGCTTCTAACCTCTGAGGCACGGGGGCGCGTCAAGATCCCGCACCCCCAGAGACCGAAATCCTCCGCCCTCGCTCCCCCACCTCCCGCACCCAGGTCTGGGCTTTGTCACTGGGGCGCCGCGGGAGACTAGCTCTTCCTCCAACCGGACCTCCGGGGGTGGGGCCACCGCGCAGCTTTGGGAACCTTGGTACCGGGTTACTAGGCGAGATCCGGGCGCTAGGAAACGGCGACGCCCGCACGGCGCCCCCGCCCCGGCAGCCCCTTCTCCCTGTGCATCCTGGGAAATATAGTCTTCTCTGCTCCAAGTGGTATGGGGCGTGAGACGGGTGGACTACAAGTCCCAGGATTCTGCGCGCCCATGGGAGCTACGGAAAAGCTGGCGCGGCGCCCACCTGACCTGCGATTTTTTAGTGCGGGGAGATATGGAGTAATAATCCCATGAAATAGTTATTAGTATGTATTTATCTTGCAGATGGAGAAGCTATGGTAAAGACAGTTCAAGTAACTTCACCATGGATGCATATAGTAGTGACAAACACTGGATTTGAACAAACACTGGATTTGAACTCAGGCATTCTGGCTCCAGAGTCTGTTCTGAATGCTCAGGAGGTTAGGAAGGAAATACATTGGAAAAGCGATGAATAGGTTCCCCCGTCAGTGACAAATTCAAAACAGCAGTTATTTAAACTTGATAATGTATTTCAAAAATTTGGAGGGAATACAAACACAATATGATATCCGTACTTTAAGAAATTCTTGGATACTCTGGCCACACCAGTATGTCACCATTCTACTCTGCCATTCCTAGACCACATAGCTTTCGCTTATTAACTGAGGTTCAACTGCAGGTTCTCCAAAAAAGCAGAGCAAATATTTGAATTTTTTCCTTTAATTGTTTACTGGCAGAGGTGTTCATGTAATAATCCTCTACAGATAGCAAATGGTTTTGTAGTAGTTTTCCTGGAAGTTAATTAATTTAGCTAAGATATATGCCTCCATGGATACTAGGTCATCTTTTTTTGTTACATAGTTTATCCTTTTCATCTGTACATTGTTTTATTCACTTTATTTCCTTTCTCTTCTTTTGTTCTTTTTTCTTCTTTTAACAAGATTTTGCTACTCATTTCAGGCTGAGCTTGAACTCACAATGTAGCCTAAGCTGGCCTCGAATTCACTGTGGTACTACTGGCTCCCCTAGCCAACCAGTGTAGCATGCTAGCTAATCAATGTAGAAATACCAAATACAATGTGTGAATCCTGATTGGATTTTCTTTAGTTTTGTTTTTGTATTAAAGGCAACAAAGGAGAATGTGGGCAGAAGAAACAATTGAGAAAATTTAAAGGACGGATACTAGAGGGTATTAAGGAATTACTGTTTTTTTGTTTGGTACCTGAGAACTGAACTCAGCACCGTGCCCCAGTGGTTGCATTCCATTCCATCTAACAGAATGGAGAACAGAAGATGGGCGTATCCACTCCTTTAAAGGGTTTTGATTTAAGCTTCATATAACGTTTGTGCTGCTGAGCTATATCCCTGACCCAGAATACTCTCCTTATTCTTAGGTGAATATTATTTTTAGGAAATACATCCTGATAGAGGGAGATATACACTTACATATGCAAACACACACAAAAGAGACAATTAATATGGAAATAATAGCAGCTGATGAATCTAGATAAATTCTACTTGTTTGAAATGTTTATAATAAAAAAATCAGGAAAATCTTTTTTTCCCAGTGTAGGCAGAAACAAAAGTGGACAGATTATGGAAATCAGGCTACCCTGAGGTTTGTATACTGCAATCTGGAATTCCAGAAAAAAAAACTGTAACAACGTCTATAAGTACTAAGAGAAAAGCAAAGAGTAAAAGTGGAATTATATCCACTAAATTGATGAAGAATAAAGGCAACAGGAAGACATTCTCAAACAATATAAAACATTTTACAACATGACAGTTATAACGAAGCTTAATAGCAAAATCACTAAAGACCCCAAATAAACCATTTAAGAAGGAAGAAGATTTGTGTCTTACATGAACAGTCTGGAGGTAGATAGTTCAGGCCTTGTTCAGCAACTTTAGGAAACTGCCAAATATTCAGAATCCTTCTGTCCTGTTATACACAACATCTGGCATAAGAATCCACTTCATGATCTAAAGTGATAGACTTAATTTCAGTGGTTGCATTCCATTCCATCTAACAGAATCGAGGACAGAAGTTGGGCGTATCCACTCCTTTAGAGCTTCATACAATGATTTTGCTTGTATCTCCTTGGCCAAAACTTTGTCATCAAGTGCATCTAGCTACAAGGGGTTGCACACAACATTCAAGAGGGGCAATATGCACATTTAAGAAGGAATGGGCAAAATAATACTGGTCTCCAATAAAAGTTTCTACAAGCACATGACTCCTTTTTAAAAAACTATATTCAATGGAACAACTGAGAGATTAAAAAATGGAGATGTTATCGTAAAAAGATGGAACGTGTCTCTCCCTTTTGACTAAATCAAGTGTAGTAAAAAGATGGAAGGTGAGCATCAAATCAGTTAAATAGGGAAACGACTTTATTCTGTAGTTTCACTGAAGTATGTGTTTGTTAACCCAAGTAAAATTAGTTACTGAGATAAACTTTTTGTTATTGTACCAGGAATCAAACTCATGACCTTGTACTTGCCAGGCAGGCAGTTCTGCTGCTGAGCTATATCCCTGACCCCAAGATTAAATTTTTTATTTACAAAAATAAAATAGTTTAATATTGTCATATTCTCATAAAATTATTTCTGTTCATTCAGCCATCTACTTATGTCAGCATCTAATAGTATTTATGCATCAAGCTATTGAAGTATAGTTCACAAAACCTGACCTAGTTATTTCTAGTGAAATTTAGAAAGATGTGCTGCCTTCTCTGTATCATTTTGATGGTTCAAAATGTTTGAGGCCAGGGATTTAGCTCAGGAGTATAAGCCCCTGCCTTACAGATACATGGTTGTGAGTTTGATCTGTGGTACCAAAAAAAAGTTGAAATTAGTATGTATTATTTAATTTAAACAATAAGTTATGGTTTTTTAAAAATAGCTATTGCTGATAAACTTTACTTTCCTTGAAATGCTATTTGGAGTCATTAAGACACACTATTTGATTTATCCATCTATGTCTTGATAACAGCCAAGACCAAAATCATGTCAGAGTATAAAACAATGTGTTTTAACCAAAATCTCTGTTCAAACCTAACCAATTTTTTGTAGATAAAACTTATAGCCTTGACTTCATTAGTACCACAATTTAGGTGCCACCAAACTTCTAAAAATCATGAAACAAAAGACTTAAAAATTAAAGCAGCATGAGAAGATACTTGACATCAGTAGTCAGCATGGAAATACAAATCAAAGCCACAGTAAGATACACACTAGGATGCTTATGGTCAGAGACAAAAGATGAGTGCTGGAAAGGATTCAGAGAACTCTGAACCCTCCTACCTTGCTGGTGAGGTTGTCTCAAAAACAATCTGGCAGAACTTCCAGGAGAATATGGCGGATAGATAGCAGCAGCTATAGAGGCTCTCTGAATATCCTGCTTAGAATCCAGGAATGGTGCGGTGTGAGGAGTCCTAAGCAAGGGGAGATATGCCCTGCCGACCCAGGAACGAAGCTAAGAGAAACCAACTGGAAACACAATCCCGGTGCTATAACAGGAACAGATAAAATCTCAGCACAGAAGCTGGATCCTGCGCATCTGGAAGCCACAATTTGAATTTCCTGCCACTGCTGCTGCATCTGAATCAGCACAGCAGGGAGAGAGATGCGTGAAAACTCTGAGAGTGGGAATCAGCGAAAGAGTTCAGAATGGGACTGGCAGGGAGCCCTACATTAACCTGCGGTGAGTGAGCGGAACGGGGACCCTTCCATAGTGTAGGAGGCTCCAGCAAAGGACATACTGGGACCGGGCAGACTAGCCGGAACAGGACACTGCAGTGACTTTAGTCGCATATTCCCCTCTCAAGTGGGACTGGTGGGGAGTGCCTGGCCTGGGTGATGCCTCTGACTAAGATCCAGTAGGCTAAGCCCAAACAAGTCCCAGTGCCTGGAGGTTCACCCTAGCAGTGAAGCCTTCAGTAGGTTGACCTGGAGTGGCAGGCCCAGCAGAGGCTGCCCAGGTCTGTGTCTCCCTAGTACACTGCAGTGGGTGGGAACACATAGCCAGCAAATTCAAACAAACTGTAACCGACAAAGAGAAAAAAAACTGGGCCTCCTATACTCGCTTGTATGGAAGGAACGAAAAGTATGGGAAGAGGAAGCAACAAGAAAGGGTCCTCAGTCCCCAATCCTGAGAACACTGATACAAGAAAGGTAAATGCAAAGGAGAATGAGGACAGAAAACATGCAATATCAGACACGGCACCAATAGAAAAAAGCAGTATCTCCGGAGCCACATAGATGAGTTCAAAAGAGAAGTATTTAACAAAATAAAGCAAGATATAAGTAGAATACTTAGAGAAATGCCACCCAAGAAAAAACAGATGGTGGAATGGAAGAATAGAAAAAAAAAAGGGAGAATTGTTTGATGGAGAAAATAGAGAAAACAGAATACGTTAATTGGTTCTAAATACCCTGTACTACTGTCATTCTCTTGAATGGTTTTACATTGTCGTGATATGTTTGGTGCTGCAGTATACGAAGTTATACTCAAAGATTTCAAGGAAAGAGACACTACGGTAACTATTTTTATGTCAGGATATCTTGTGGTGAGACACTATTTTGCTTAAATGGTTATGCTTTGACCTGCGCTGTTTTGTTGTTATGCCCTCTTTTATCTTAATCTCCTTTTTTAAGTTATTTACTTTTTTATTTTTATCTTTTTAACTAAGGGAAAAATAAATAAAAAAGTAGCAGGATACATTATAGTAACCCACTTTGATTTCCTATTAACTTGATTTGAAACCCTGTATTGCCCTCACCATCTTGTTTTGACTGATTTTCCCCTATTCTACTTTGCTTGATAGTACCAAGTTCGAAAGTTTAGGCAAGTTTAGACAGTAAGATTTATTATGACATCCATTCTGGTTGACTATTATCTTCTTTTAAAGTCCTGTAATGTCTCCAATGTTTTGGTTTTATTCTTTACTGTTTTGCTCAATTTTATTATAACTGATGATATAGGCAATTCTTTTTAAGATAGCAAGAGGCAG